TTGTCCTTTTCTGTGTGGACTGTGCCCTTCCTTTCCATGCCCTTCTTTACTCAGCTGTTTATTCTGCCATAGGTGCCTTCTTTAACATCATAGAACATCTAGAACCTTCCTTCTGTCCTTGGGCATTTTAATGTTTGGTCTGCTATCTTAAGAGTTCACCCTTCTCCCTTTTACACCCCTCTTTTCCCCCTTCTTGTGTACTCTAATAACTTGCAATTGCTAAAGCTGTCCTAGAATATCTGGAAGTCCTGGGGCAGGGATGAGGAGGGAGGTGCGAGCAGGCAAAACGGAGACCTGGGGGCTGGAAGGTACCTGGAGAGAAATTTCAGCTCAGTTACTTTCCAGCTGTCTGAGTTCTCCAAAGATGGGATGGGTTATTGAATCGAATAGAAACTGTCCTGGTGTTTCTGGACAGGCCTTTGCCTTGGATAAGGAGTCCTGGTATCTCAATGGTTAAGTCTTAACTGCTAACCAAAAGGTTGGTGGTTGGAACCCAATCCAATGGTTCCACAGGAGAACAACCTAGCGATCTGCTCCTGTAAAGATTCCATCCTCGAAAGCCCTGTAGCGACATTTCTACACTATCCTATAGGGTTGCTGCAAGTTGGAAAATAGATTCAACAGTCTATCTTAACACTCACAGAATGTTTTGGATGGCAGCTGGATTCTGATTGTCTCTCCAGTTCTATCACCGAAGCCCCGTGCAGGCCTTTTGAAGATATTCAGATTGTCTCCTGTGAACTGGGAGAGAGGGCTCATTATATTGGAATGTTTCTCCCTGACCTTCCTGTGGATCCAGGTGGGGCGCATATATTTGTATATTCAAAAATAATTCTGCTGTGCCTCTCTTCCCATAGCCCTCAGCATCAGGCTGGTTGACAAACCACAGACTTGAACATTTCCGTTTCCCTCCTCCTACTCTGTGCCATTCTTTCTCTCCGATAGTAGGAGCTGAGGCAAAGGTCTTCAGCTATATTCTGTGTTTGCTTGTTGCATTTAATTCCTTACTTTGGCAATGCTTTTTCTGTTTTTTCATAGCCAGTGGGTTATAATTTGAACAATTTCTGACAGAAACTGCTGTAGAAGTACAACAGGTATGTTTTGGTTTTTAAACATCTTGACAGTGTTTTAAGATTCAGGAGCTTAACATAGTAAGTGTAGATTTCCAGCATCTCCTGTAAAACTTGGGAATCTGGACTCTTTGGGTCGTCATTCCCTTATGGTCCCCAACTTGCAGAGCTGGGGAGGGTCTGGCTGTCTCCTGTTAGGAGACATTTGACACAGTATCCCCCTGGCCTGCTTCACTTTTTCATTACCTGCCTAAAGGCATTTGTGTACATAACTTCCTAAAGTGGATAAAATAGGCTTTTGTGGGCTAGCCTGGGAACCCAGCTAGTATATTTAATTTTTTTTTTTTTTGATGGGAAAACATGTTCCAACTTTCTAAGAGTGGATTCTTGAAATATCAGTCTGTGCAAGTGTGGGAATGCTTATCAGGCCTTCAAACTAGATTGTACATGTGCCATGGGATGATGGCTTGTGTGTCATACTTGTCCTGCTCTGTGTTTGGGCTTATTGCTGTTCTGAGATGCTGTCAACTTGTCTCCGACTTGGACAACCTTATGAAACTTGTTACCTGGTCCCACACCATTTTCTTGATCGCTGGTATGTTTGGGCCCATTTTTGTGCCTGTTGTGTCCGGCTATCTCTTTGAACATTTTTCTCATTTTCACTGACCCTCCTCTTAAGCAAGTATGATGTACTTTTCTAGCGATTGGTCTTTCCTGATGTGTGCTTAAAGTAAGTGAATCGACGTCTCCCCATCCTCTCTTATAAAGAACATTCCGGTTGTGTTTTTTTTAAGACGATTTGTTCATTCTTCAGGCAGGCCACACTTAGCACTTAGTAGGCATTTAAATGATTTATCTCATGGGATTACTAAATGCTTGTTGTCCATCTCCCTCTAAGACTATATACAGAAACACTGTCTCATTGTGGGCCCAGACCTGCCAGTTTTGCCTAAGACAAAATTGTTGCTTGATTTACCCAGAATTTCCATTTTCAGTTGGTAGATACCTGTACAGAGTGTGAGGATCAGCCCCCTTCTCCCCACCCAACATTTCCCCTGTCTTGAGAGAAACTGTTTCTTTCCCTAAATAAAGATCTCATCTTTGTAGAGTTGGCTGTATGGAGGAAATGAGAGGAGAGACCTTCATTCTCCTTCTTAGATGATGCCTGCCAAGCTTGAGTTGGTGGCAATTACAGAGTGCTTGCATTCCAAACCCTGAACAGGGGTTGGGTAAAAGTTCAGCTCATTTTTGTCTTTGGCATTTCAAAAGTTTTGACCTAGATCAGTCGGAGGCCACTGATTGAGAGCTCATAATGTCTGGAGAGTTTGTTTCGTTCCTGAGGCTTTCGGCTGCAAAGAAGCTGAAGAAAGCCAACGACCTCCTCGGCGGGAGCTGACGCTCAGCCTTTGCTCAACCTTTTCAAGTTTGCCCTGTTCCGGCCTCCTCAGGCCTCTGAGAGTGGATGGAAGAAGCCAGCACCTTCAGCTCACACACGAGTTATCTTTACCCCCTGAAATCAAACACTGCACACAGCACCCTGTAAAACTGCTTCCTCGTAGGCTCGAGCGTGCTTGCTAAGTAAACATCCTCCCATGTTTTTTGGAACTGAGTTCCTTTCTGCTTCCTCGTCATCCCGTTCGGGTTTTTGTGCTTAGCGCCACATAGAATCAAGTTGATAGAAGGAAGACCTAAGGTTGGCCAAAGGCACCAAGAGACTTTCAATCTTCGTAACACTATGAGAAGTGGGAGGGGGTGGTATTGTGGGAAGAAAAAGATGTCGGTGAAAAGTGAAACAGAACCAAGCCTTCCTATTCATAGTGTCATCGTCATAACTTTGAAGGTCCGAGTAGACCCACGTTGGAACCCCGAGATGCGGACGTTTCTTTGCATGAACTCAAGTTCAGTTTTGTCTCCTGTGTTGGCCTCTGTGTGTAAATCCTGTGGTTATATCTGCCCCTCCCTGACCCTGGCTTGTTCGCTCTCCATCTCTCATGACTTATTTGCCTCTTCTCTCTCACTTCCACCCACCCGTGACATCAGCCACGTCATCCACCAAGTTCATGGGGTGATGGGCCAACTCGGTGCTTAGCCCTACTTCCCTCTAGTCCCCTCCTGAAGCAGGAGGCTCCCTGGCAGAGCACAGAGCCCTTTGTTTATTTGATCTTGGGCTCGTGGATAAATCAGGAATGTCCTGACATGAACTTAGGCATGTTTTTCTTCCATGGAGAAGGAAACTATGGCAAATGGGATTTAAGTAGGCAGAGGACCATTCCAAGGGACCTGCTTTAGTGTCATCAAGGCCACATTCCTTTGGTCATCAGACCAGTAGGTGACTTCTTTACTGGCATGCTCTATCCTCGAGCCCAGAAGGTGTGAATTTGAAGCATTTTCCCCCCTGCTAGGAGCCTGGCACAGTTTCTCCGAGCTTCTTTTAAGACTTTGTGGTGCCATGGTTATCGTCCAAGTAGCCCGTGTTTCTGTTGTGTGAAACCTTGTCCCAGCATCATTGCTTGAAGTAGTTACTTGGGAAGTGGGGTCTAAGATAAGGTGACAACCTGGCCTCTTTTCCATAAGCCGGCTTCCTGCAGGATATACTTGACGTTTGAGAAAACGGCCCTCGTACATTAGTATCTGTCTCAGTTCTCTTCAGGCTGTGGGGGGGCTCATGTGGAAAACCTTTGGAGGTCTGTGTTCTGTTGATGTAATAGTATGTGAGAGCTCTAGATATCCTGTGTCTGTCTGGTTACACTATCCAATGAATTAGTATCTGAACTGTTTTTGGGTCTGGGGACAGGGAAGCACTGGTACCCATGTGCCTAGTGACTTGCTGCAGTAAAGACTTGTTGATAGAACCTAGCATGGATGGGACCCTCTGCCCTCCTCCCCCAGAGTTTCCAGGTGTGCAGATGTCACTGCATTGCTGTCTTTGGGACAGAGGGGGTGGGGGTGGGAGCTGGTGAGGCTTGTCTTACTCAACTACTCACCCCAGAGAGGAGATCCCAGGCGTTGGCGACTTCAGGTGCAGGCTTGGCTGTCTCTCTGTTTTGCTGCCTTTGGTGTTGTCAGAAGGATCTTCTTGGGAACAAATGACTCAGCAACCTGCATCTGTGGGGCCATGTAGCCTCAGTGCCTTTTGGGAAGTGATTCGAGTACCTACCTGGGCCCTAAATTGCAGGACTCCACAAGAATAGAGACCCAGATGAGTTTCGTGCCCGTTTCCTCAGCTGCTGTTGAATTTGGTTTCTCAGATTCCTGCCCTGATAGAAGGATCTCACTCATGGGGTAAGCAGGCAATGTTTTAATTATGCTTTTTGTTCATAGGAAATTCCAGAGAAAAAAAAAATTTGGCCCTTGGTTTGTGGCCCAGAAAGCAAAAAACAAAACACAATTCAGCTACGGTTAATATTCTGGACTTGTCAGTGGCACAAAGAGTTAATGGGACAGTGGTCTCCGCGTGAGGATCGTTTGTTCCCTCATGACTGGGAGAAGCCCACATGGGTCAAGAAAAGATGATGCAACATTTAGCATGGGACAGCCGTGTCTGGGCTCTGGGGGCTGTCGCTCAAAGAGTTAAGCTAGTCCTATGGCTGGAAGCCCTTAGGGAGAGAGCAAGCCTGCAGGGACCTGGACCTCTATGCCCCAGAACAGTGAGGTGTGGGGTGAACAGCGGACTGACTGGGAAGTGTGGCCAGGGGAGCAGAGTGTAGGCCCAACTTTTTTTTGCCTTGTTTGACCAGCCTTGGCACTGCCCTCTGGCTCTCCAGGGGAAAAGCTGCAGTTCTGCTCTTGCAACACAAGGAGCAGACTGGAGAATTTAGATCTGCGTCACAGAGCTCAGAGAGAGAGAGAGAGAGAGCCAGAGCTCCGTCGATAGGTCTGCTAGCAACAGCCGTGCTGCAGCAGAGAGAGAGAGAGAGATCAAGAAATAAGTCATAGCAACACCGGGCACCAGCTCTGCCAGCTCACTTGCCAAGCTTCCAGAAATCTGTCGGGGGCTGGAGGCCTCTGGGTAGCCCAGGCTAAGGAGATGGCACGCAAGGTGGCACGGGCGATCCCCGTGGGGAGGACACGGGATGGTGGTGGGGGCAGGGGTGGGAACAAGAGGTTGCGGGGCGACGGCGGAAGGTTTAACGGGACCAAATTCTGGAACCTTCGGGACTGCGGCACCTTACGGACAGAAAGAAATTTGGGTCTGCGCAGGCGCCTGTGGGTGGTCCGACGGGCTCCGGACTTGGTGGCGTAGCCCCCTTCTTCTCCCACGTATGTATTTGCTGGGATCCGGGGCGATGTCTCTGTGTATGTGGGTGCTCTGTCTTTCTCACCTCCTTTTTTGCTTTTTGCTATTTTTTTTCTCTGAGGGAGATTTTTTTTTTTTTTTTTTTCTTCACTTTAATTTCTTTTCCCTTAGTGTCAGCTGCTCGAGCCGGACTCATGGTAGAGGAAAGAGGAGTGGACTGTCTCCACCTCCCACTTGACCTCCCAGCCTTTACCTCGTTTCCCTCTAGTGGACAGACAGATGGACAGACGGGTTTGCCAGGTTGTCTGGGTGTCAGTGGCTGTTTGTCCATGTAGTCCTTTGGTAGAAGGTAGGAAGTGAAGAGAAGTGAGGGGGAGGAAGGCGGGAGGCACAGTTTTTGAGGGGGTGACTTTCCTGAACTGTTCAGCCTTGGGAATTAGGGTCTGGTGGGGAGCAGTGTGGTGGATGGCATTGGGTGTGGGCCGGGAAACGTGGGGTCCAGCTGGTAGGTTTGTCACTGCGTAGTTGGGGAAAGTGGTGAATGATGACGCAGTCACTGTTGCATTTTGTTAGGAGCTCTAGAGGGACAGGTAGTGAGGCTCCCCGGGTCTGAGGGGCCAGCTGAGAGGGGTTAAGGATGAGCTGAGGAGGGAAGCTAGCATTTAGAGATTAAATGTCATCCTTTTGGCGTTGGAAAGTTGTTTACCTTGCGCTCTCTGTGTCTCCATGTTGGCACCCTTCCAGTTCACATGTGATGGCCTTCCCTGTACTGCTGCATCATTAACTAAGTGACTGAGCTGGCCTTCCATTGGCCAGGGGAGGGCTCTCATTCCAGACACTTCTTCTGATTGGTGGGCAGCCCGGTGGCAGGTGAAAAGCTTTCTTTGATTGGCCAAGGGCCAGGGTATCAAATCAGAATTTGCATTTCACTTGCTTAAAGGAGATGGGGATAGGTGGGGGGAGCCCAGCAGCTTTCTAAAATCTCTTTAGGGGTGTGCGTATGCTTGTGTGTCTGTATCGGCTCTGGACTGACCATGGAAGCTTCACCCTAAGCCCTTTGAAAATTTCATGCACTACAAGAAAGAAGAGCTCAGGGCTCCACAAACTTTTTGTGGTGGAGGTGTAGAAGAGTTTGAGGAGATGAGTGTATAGAAGGATGACCAAATTGGAAGAAAATGCTTTTTGTCCTTTCATTGGGTGTCAGAAAAGGTAGTTTTCCAATCAGCCACACCTCAGGGTTGCGGCAAAATAATTCTTGACTCTCTGGAAACACATGGGTAAGGTAGGGCAGAGCTGCTACTCCTGCTGTTGCCACCACCCTGGGCTTCCTGCTGACTCGGGGCAACTCCCCTGGGACTAGAGATTTGCATTGACGTCCGGGGCTGTCCAGAGGCCCTCAGGAGCCAGTCGGGAGCCCAGCCCAGGATGGGAAGGACTTGCCTTCTGGAAGCTGCTGCTACCTGGTACTTAGAAAGGTGAGGATTGGGGCTAACACCAGGGAATGGCGCAAACGCTGCTTACTTTGTGGGATTTCCAGAAGAGCCAACGGGTGGCAAGAGGTTTGGAGGTCCCAGCCTGAAAGGTTTATCAGTCTGGGGAAAGAGAAGAGAGAATAAAACTAGGACAGCAGGCTGTTCACCTCTTGGTTGGGGGAGGGAGACCTGGACAAACCAAGGTCCCCTACTACCCAACCTGTCCTTGTTGCAGGGCTCCTGTTGGTGGGGAGTGGGCTTCCAGAGCCCTGGGCCATGCCCAGCGCGCCCCCCAATAACTGCGCATCTAGGAGTGCAGTGCGCCCGGGTCTCTGGCCTAGGACGAGCGCCACCCTTATTACGTAATGGAGGTACAGGGTGCCTTCTTGGTAAGCCAACCTCCTGACTGGGGAGCAGGGGACAGTTTTGATCCCTTGGAGGTGTAGCTCTTGTCAGCTAGTGACAGGAACTGGGTTGCTGTCCCCCATCTTGGGGTATGGAATGCAGAATGTCCCGAACTCCCTGTATCACCTATGGCACCCCAAGGCCTCTAGGGAATGGGATGGGACCTTTAATATACATGAGTTTTGAGAGGATATTTCCAAAGCAAAAGATAATGATCCTTGTGAGAGTAAGGAGACATGTGGGGGGCCTAGAGGTTATTGACAATTCACTGGCTTCCCTCTCCATGGGTGGGTTTTTAGATATATCAGCTGCCATCTTGGAGGCATTTTTACTGGCCTCAACATGGTGGCGTTGGTTTTTCTGGTCCTGCCGTGCCAATTCCGCAGAGTGGGCGGGGGGCGGGGGCTGTGACGGAGGAGGGGAAGGGGGGGCAAAAGCGCAGCAAAGGCGGGCACAGTGGTGGCTGCCGCAGTGAAGGAGGCCCCATGGGCAGAACTGCCCCGTCCCACCCTTGGACCCAGCCCTGGGTGGGGGATTCAGGTAGAAGGCTTCGGGGTCCCAGGCTTCGCTAGAGCCTGGGCATTGCTCTCCGAGGGCGTTGGTGTCCCATAGCCTCATCAACCTGAGCTTAGAGCAGTTTGGGTGGAAACTGAGTATTTGGGGGCCAAGTGGAGGCAAAGACACAGCAGCTCCCCTTAGAGTTGTCAGACCTCCGGGTGTATGCTCTCAAAATCGGCCCTGTTCCTGTCATAGTCTACCCTTGGGGACAGGGAGTGGGATCCAGGGTCTGCCCTTTACCGTTTTCTTTCCTGTTTCTTACCCGTTCGCTCTGCCAGTGCCGGATTCCAGCTGTATTCCTCTGGTGAGGCTCCCTGCTGCCAGTCCCTCTTGTCTTTAGTCCCTTCTGCGTGCTGCGGCCATCTTGTCTGTCTTGCTCAGAAATTTAAAATGGTTTCTCATCGTTTCCAGAATAAACTCCCTTCCTTTGAGCATGATGTTTAAGGCCGTCTGTGACTAGCCCTCGTTTTCCTGTACAGTCTCATTCCCTCCCTTTTCCTAAATGAACCAGGTATTCCAACAAAACCAGGTGACTTACTTTTTTCTTGCTTTCTCCCTTTCTCCTTTCATACTCATGCTATTTTTTGCACCTCCTCTTCACCACACCTCCACCTTTGGCAATCCCACCTTCCTCCTCAACAAGAAGAAAATTTGATGATCACCATGACCCTCTGTCAAACTCCCATTCCTGTTTTTAATGGTACGTTTATTGTGATGTGCTCTTTGTGTTTATGTCTTATACCACCAGGTAGATTGTGCGTTCCAAGGGGCAAGGGGAAAAAGAAAGAAAGCAAATGCCCATTCGATGCCTTCTGTCTGTCAGGTACCCTAGGCTCTCTTACTGTGCTGATTTCATTTATTCCTTAACCACAACCCTGCTGGGAATGTCCCATAACTGATGAGTCTCTGATTGTGATTAGAACCTTGATCTCTCAAAGACCTTGCATTTTCCCTGTCTGAATTCTCAGTGTCTAAAAATGCCAGCGATGAAGTAGATCTTCTAAATGTGTCTATTTAAGGAATCTTGTAAATCCCGGATGCTGAGTGGGAGTGTGATCTTCTTGTGCTCATGGTCTGGTTCACTTACCTGTCCCATGCCATCTGAACACCCTCATTGCTATCTCGGTAACGTTCTCCTCTTCCTTTGCGCCTGGGCTCACACAAGATGATGACTTCTTGTAGCTAAAATTGATGGCTTAGAAAGCTTCAGTTGTCATGGTTGCCTTCCCCCTTGAAGAGGAGATGGAGGTGGGGTGGATTGTAGCATCTTGAGAGCAGAGTAAGATACAGAACACAGAAGTCAGTGGGGAACAGCATGGTGGATGCCGCAGATGTAGACATTGGTGTTGGAGGGACCGGGGTTTGTATCTTGACACCCTGCCTTCTTAACTTAGCTGGATGGTTTTAGTGAGGTGGAGCCATGTCTCTTTATTACACAGAATATGCCTAAAGCATTGTTAGGCAGATAGGTTTTCAACAGGTACTGATGCACTTCTCTTCCCAGCCTGGTGGTTAATTGGGGACACACAAAATGAACGTAGCAAGCAAGGAATCCTAGTGGCGCAACTGTTAAGTATGCGGCTTCCAACCAAAAAGATGGCTGCTCAAACTCGTGTAGCCACTGTGTGAGAGAAAGATGTGGTGGTCTTGTCTATAAAGCTAAACCTTTTGAGATCTAGTCGCTTCCGACTCCTATGGGAGAGACTAGGAGAACCGGCTCCATAGGGTTTCAGAGACTGTAAATCTTTCTGGAGGCAGACAGCTTCATTGGTCTGTGGAGTGGCTGGTGGGTTCCAACTGCTGACCTTCAGGCTAGCAGCCGAGTGCTTTAACTGCAACACCACCCGGGCTGCTTTTCATAAAGAGCGTTGTTACTGTGTGTCATCACAGAGAGCCTATATAGAGGGTTTTTTTTTTTTAATGTTTTATTGTGAATTATATGATAGTTTACATGGGAGAACTTTAGTTTTACATTCATTCCATCGTATATCATCTCACTGCCATGGTTCCAATCCCCTCCATGCAGCATCAACCACCCAAAGGGTATATCCTAGAAACCCACCCCCTGTACTTCCCCCTCCTCCCCCCAGTTTTTGGCCCACAGTCCCTTTCCCTCTCTGGGTCCAAAGTCCCCAGTCGCTTCATCACTCCACGTCATCATCTCTGTCTCTATCTCAGGCATCTCTGTTTCTCTGGGTAGGGTCCCCCTCTCGGCTTTTCTCCATTGATGGTCCCAGAGGCCTCCGCTCCTATCCTGGAGAATTAATCACTCCCTTCCTTGCTACAAAACCTCTGTACAGAGTTTTTGAGGAGCGACTGGTAGATTTGAACCGCTGAGCTCGTGGTTAACAGTCCAGTCCTGATCCTACAGCCCCACACGGGGACTTTACAGCCTAGGAAATCCTGTGTGGTAGTTCTACTCTGCCACATGGGGGCGCTCTGAGTCAAAAATCAACTTGATGGCACCTGACAGCAACAACAGAAGAAATGGAGGTGAGGGGAACTTGTGTGCCCTCAGTGGGCTTGTCAAGTCTGTCAGGGGATGAGGTAAGCTGGGTAGTAGCCACCTAAAGCTTACCCCAGGTAGTGGCTTCTGCCT